AACCACAAAGGCTTTAGGGCACTAGGCGTAAAACACCCCTAAATACTTATTAACTCAAGCTGAAAAGACTACGAAACCAACTAACCACCCTGCTCCATGCCAAAACTGTACCGTTTGACGCGAGAATCATTGTTGATCAGGCAAGATTGGCCCGGTTACTAAGCAAAGTCTCAGATGGAATAATTATTACTTTATAACACATACTAAACTTTATTTTATAAAGAACAAAAATTAAAGTACATTTAGACTAAAAGTAAGTGTTTCAATCTCATTCCCTACAAACTATGTTGATGTGAATGTGCAAATTTTAAAGTACAATTAATGAATTAGTGTCTAAGCAACGATAAATAGAAAATACTCTACTGTGAGATTAACCTTCACCATATCCATTTGTTTTAACGTTTAAAATAATCTATAGATATTAACTAAAAAAGGAAAATTTTTAAACGGACTTAAAAAGTAAAAATCTAAAATTTCTTATTTCCTACCTCCAAACTTAAATCACACATTGTCCTCAAGGTATGAAAAATAAAAGAAAAATAAAAACATAAAAAGACTATTCCATAGATCAACAAATATTTTTTTTTTTTAAAAGGCAAACAAAATAAACTAGGAAAGGAAAAATAAAAACAGAAAAAGAAAATATAAAATAACAAATAAAAAAAAAGGATTGGACTTCGAACCTATGATCTTGGGAGACAGATAAGCCTGGCAAACGGGTCGTGTCTGTCGTGTTCGTGTCGTTTTCGTGTAACACCTGTTATCTTAAGGGGTCGTGTCGTGTCACACCCGTTATCTTAAATTTGCACATACCACACATTGCCACATAAATATTACTTCAAAACATTAAAACACATTTGTCATTTAAGTACTACATCTACACTTGAAAATAAGTGCCTAATAAAAAAATAATACATACACTACTAATCTATTACAAATATTAAATGTGCAAGGATATGCAAAATGAAAGAGTTTTTGTTTTCAAGGTTGTGAAGTCTTTCTCAAAAGTTTAAACCTCAATTTACAAAATCCTCGATTTACATCGATCATCATGAAATTGTATTGGAACTTTGGCTTGATCTCAGCCGATCCAATGGTCATCAATTTTTTAAATTTACTTTAATATATATATATATATATATATAATTATTATAGTTTCTAGGGGTATAAAATTGTTAAATTAATATATATAAGTATTATAGTTTATTCATACTTTTATTAAGTATAACATAAGATTTTGTGATATCCACGAGTGTAAATATTTTAAATTGAAGATTGAATTCATTCCTTGTATTCATATAAGGTCAAGGAGTGTAGTTGTAAAAAATCATCAAAATCGAAGTTAAAATAACCGTTAAATCGTGATTTTTCGTTTTATAACCGTCGAAAAGTTTTATCCCGTTACTTTATCTCTGAATGTTTGTTTTTTTGCAATTTTTGGCGTATGCGATATCGAAGTATATACAAATATGTTTGATTATTGAATCACTAAAAGTAGTTTCGTAGAATGCGTGTATCTCATCAAAACAATAAATTCACTAACACTTAAAAGTTTATTCATACTTTCATTAAGTAAAACATAAGATTTTTTTGTATCCACTAGTGTAAATATTTTAAATTGAAGATCGAATTCAATCATTGTATTCATATAGGGTTAAGGAGTGTAGCTGCAAAAAATCATCAAAATCGGAGTTAAAATGACCGTTAAATCGTTATTTTTCTTTTTATAACCATCGAAAAGTTTTGTCTCGTTCTTTGATCTTTGAATGTTTGTTTTTTGCAAGTTTTGGCGTATGCGATATCGAAGTATATACAAACATGTTTGACGGTTGGATCATTGAAATTAGTTTAGTAGAATGAGTATCCCATCAAAACAATAGATTCACTACTAATACTTAAGAGTTTATTCATACTTTCATTAAGTATAACATAAGATTTTATGATATCCACTAGTGTAAATATTTTAAATTGAAGATCGAATTCATTCATTGTATTCATATAGGGTCAAGGAGTGTAGCTGTAAAAAATCATCAAAATCAGAGTTAAAATAACCGTTAAATCATGATTTTTCGTTTATAACCGTCGAAAAGTTTTATCCCGTTACTTTATCTCTGAATGTTTGTTTTGTGCAATTTTTGGCGTATGCGATCTCGAAGTATATACAAACATGTTTGACAGTTAGATCATTGAAACTAGTTTCGTAGAATGAGTATCCCATCAAAATAATAGATTCACTAATACTTAAGCGTTTATTCATACTTTCATTAAATATAACATAAGATTTTGTGGTATTTACTAGTGTAAATATTTTAAATTGAAGATCGAATTCGTTTATTGTATTCATATAGAGTCAAGGAGTGTAGCTGTAAAAAATCATCAAAATCGAAGTTAAAATAACCGTTAAATCGTGATTTTTCGTTTATAACCATCGAAATTTTTTGTCCCGTTACTTTATCTCTGAATGTTTATTTTTTGCAATTTTTGGCGTATGCGATCTCGAAGTATATACAAACATGTTTGATGGTTGGATCATTGAAACTAGTTTTGTAGAATAAGTATCCCATCAAAACAATAGATTCACTAATACTTAAGAGTTTATTCATACTTTCATTAAGTATAACATAAGATTTTGTGGTATCCACTAGTGTAAATATTTTAAATTGAAGATCGAATTCATTCATTGTATTCATATAGGATTAAGGAGTGTAGCTATAAAAAATAATCAAAATCGGAGTTAAAATAATCGTTAAATTGTGATTTTTTGTTTTATAACCATCGAAAAGTTTTGGTCGGTTACTTGATCTATGAATGTTTGTTTTTTGCGATTTTTTGCTGATACGATCTCGAAGCATATATAAACAAGCTTGACGGTTGGATCATTGAAATTAGTTTTGTATAATTCGTATCCCATCAAGTTCAATGGTGTATATATATATATATATATATATATATATATATATATTTATTTATTAAGTAGATTTAAATCTATTTATTTTGTACATATAATTGACCGGTACACGGAGTAGTACATCACGTGTCATTATAAAAATAGTGGGATATGTCATATGTGTGATAAAAAGTTAATAACTTAAAAAAAAAAAATTCTCACCACTTTTATTAATTTTCATTTTTCCCTCTCTTTTTTGTTTCCTTTTCAGCTTTTCTTATAATTTTCATTTTTCTCTCCCTTCTTTTTCTTCAAAGGGCAGCAGCCTACCCATCTTTTCCTCTCTTTTTTTGTTTCCTTTTCAGCTTTTCTTATAATTTTCATTTTCCCTCCCTTTTTCTTCAAAGGGTGCAGCAAGAATGGAATGGAATTATGGAATCAATGGATGCATATTAATTAATAATTATTATAGTTTTTATAAAATTTAATATATATAAAATTATTATAGTTAATATTTTGGGGGTATAATTATTATAGTATATATAATTATTATAATCATTATAGTTAATATATATATATATATATGATAGTTTTTAGGGGTATAAAATTGTTATATATATATATATATAATTATTATAGTATTTTTTTAGGGTTATAAAATTATAAAATTAATATTCTGCTTATCGTGTATCGTGTTAACCACGTGTATACCCGAATTAACCCGTTATCTTAACAGATGCTTATTGGGTTACCCGATAACGACCCGATTCATTATCGTGTCGACCCAAACACCTGTTAATTTCGTGTCGTGTCGTGTCAGGTTATTGGGTCGTATCTGGAATTGCCAGGCCTAGAGACAGAGGCGCTGGCAAAATTTAAAAATAAAGCACAAAAAATGCATGGCTCCGGGGGTCGAACTAGTGGAGGTGAGCATCACGTGCAAGCCCACACGTGCGAAGCCTTCTGATGTGAAGGCCAGCAGATTCATACATAAACAAGTTAAGCTCTCATTTAGCATTTCCAACCCCAGCTGCAAACGCTCCACCTCGAGGCCAGAGCCGTGTGGGCTTTCAAATCGTAGCCTCCATACAATTGGCCTTTAACAGAGGAAATCTATCAGTAAACTTCAAGATTCAATCACTCCGGCAATTGGCCATTGAGGAGAAAAGAATTCACAAACAAGAATAATATGGCAATCGGCCTTTGTAAACATTCAGAACATCAAACAATTGCAACTGGCTATCGGCCTTGTATACAACATAGAAAAGATTAGAAGAGAAACTCACTGAAGCAATTTATCAAACACCTGGAGTGCACAGATCTTCGTCACCAACAGAACTTCCATAGACAAGTATCGAAACCTCCCAAGAACAGAAAAACGTCATCAACACTTCACAGAGATGAGCTTCCCATTAGAGATACTACAGCGGAAGTCAAAAGATCATCCATGGCAACGACACCATATTAACACTAGTCAAAGAAGAAGAAGAAATGCAGAAATGTTACAGAGAGCTTTGGAAGAAAGAAAGAAAGAAGCTGAATAATATTGGTGCATTGCAGAGAATGCATGTATAAATAGAGGATATCACTCTGTATCTTGTATCAATTCATTCTCTGCAATACACCAATATTATTCAGCTTCTTTCTTTCTTCCAAAACTCTCTGTAACATTTCTGCATTTCTTCTTCTTCTTCTTCGACTACTGTTAGTTCATTGCTAGCTCTTAAACATCTCAACCGTTGATAACAGCCATAAAAATACCATGTTCTCTCGTTCAGGAGAAATTTGAAAAAACATAAAAACCTTCAAAAGCAGATACCCAAGCACCTTTGTAAACTTCTTCAACTTTTAAATGCCTCTGGAAATCATACATAAAAAAAGAGAGCTGTTATTCCCACCCCAACGTCTTATCTTCCCACCCATTTTTTAATGACTTTTTAATTACAAATTTGTCCATTTGTAAAATGACTAATAAGGACTTTAGTTACCCTCTTTTGCATTATTGTTTTTCTTTAGACTATTTGTTTTTCTTAAACCCTAACTCATCATTCTATTTAATCCTTATTATTTAGACACTGATCTGAGTCATAACGCTCCTATCCTATGCCATCAGCGTGTTCATGGGACCTATGGAGATTCCTTCACAATCTCCCCAAACTATTAAGCTTCAAGATGTTTTCTTTAATTTGTATCAGGTATTTGGAAAAAATTATTATATGATATAAAACTTTTTCCCATTTGAAGCTGTTTCCATCAATCACCTAGCATAACCCCAGGGGTTATAGGTTGAGAAATGGTTTACTTGAGTAAACTCCTCCATTTTCAAACACGACCAAACATGTACATTAGGCTAAAGATTGGAAGACTCCGGTTTTTTTTTTTTTTTTTGGTGGCTTTTAGAAGAGAATAATATTATTTGTTTATATTCTTTTTTTTAAGAGACGAGTTTATAATTATATAATTATATATATATATATATATATATATTAAGGGTTATTTTAGTAATAATAGTGGGTAAGGAAATAACATTTTAATTTTTTAACTTTTTATAGCGGGTGTAAATATAATGTGGGTGAGAAAATAAGACAACAGGGTGGGTCTAGCAGCTCTCATAAAAAAATCCCCTATATGGCTGCTTACGGATTAATTGGGTAGACATTTAATTTTTAAAATTTTTGTGGTCAACGGCATTTAATTTGTTTAAGTTTTTTTCTTTGTTTGGAAATTCCTAAATTTAAATTGTTATTATTTGTGTATATAGCTAATTGTTATAAGCATTCCAAAGATTTTTTCCACCTTAAACTTAATACATTAAAAAAAAATACTTTTATAAAGACTGCACAATTAAAACCGCAAAAGAAATTAAAAATTACTACAAATACTAGCAGATTATGCACATCCTATTTGGGTGTTGGATAATTACATGCATACTTGAAGGCTGTCATACCAAAATCTATATATCAATCAATAGGTCATGATTTATTCGTTATGGGAAACCTCCTAATTTCAATGTTCTTTGTTGGTCTCACTTAAAAGTGGAGGCTTCTAGCCTTGTAAGTAGCAATTGATTTTTAAGAGTACGAATCTATACATCTTTAGGAGTACGAATCTATCCCTAGCCTTGTATGGGAAAGGGATCCATCCCCTTCCACCTAATCCACATAGTTCGTAATTCAGACCGTTGAAATTTGATCAAACGGTTACAAACAAGGAGTCCCTTTAAAGTTATAATAACTATGACCGTTGGTTCAAATTTTAACCGTCTGAATCTCAAACTTTGTGGATTAGGTGGAAAGGGCTTTTAAGTAGCAATTGATTTTGAAGGGTGAATCTATCCTTCCTCTTTTTCTTTCTCTTTCATTTAAAACATAATAATAATAATTAAACTATCCTTCCTTTTAGCTTCTCGTGTAGCCAAAACAATATTTATTCACCAAAAAGGGCTAGAGCTCGATCTTCAAAGACCCACTCGAGTCATTTAAAGATCAAAATATGATTTCAGGAAATTTTATTTAAACTCATTTAACCTATTTATATACCTAAATTATTTTTTGCATTCATTTGATTTTTAACTAAATTATTAATATCTCTTTATATTCAAATTTAATACATAATATAACCCCATAAACCCAATTCATTATGTAGATTTATTTTTACCCCATTAGATTTTTAAGTCCCGCTTCAACAGATGGAAAATTGAAATCGAAGAAGAAGACAGGCTGAGGTTCATGCAGAAAGAGATGCAGGCTGAGGTTCCTGCAGAAAGAGATGCAGGGTCTTGTTCCTGGGAGCAGTAGCGGAGCCAAGGTAAGGGCAAGGTGAGGGCAATGGAAGCCATGCAAAGGCGCGGACTTTGGGCCGACTCCGTCGTCTACTCCGAGCTCGTCAAGTGCTGCTTGGCTCGGCCAGCTGTTCAGCATGGTAAGCTCGTCCACAAGCACGTTTTCTCAAATGGGTACCAGCCCAAGACCTTCTTAATCAACGTTTTCATTAACATATACGTTAAATTTGCTCTCTTGGAGGAAAAGCAGGACCTGTTCGACGAAATGCTTGAGAGAAACGTTGTTTCCTGGACCACTATGATATCGGCATACTCAAATTCCAAACTCAACCACAAGGCCTTGGAGTCTTTGGTTTTAGAAGCTAAATTCGATGTGTTTAGACCTAAGTTTGAGAGGCATTTTTGTTGTTTTTGTATTGAAATGGTTGAATTGGAAAATGCCCAGAAACCATTGTGATTGTTTATTTCGTTTTTAGGATATGGGTTTTCCACTACTGTCTCTGATCTTGTAAACCCAGAAAGCGATCTTCGATAAAAAACATGCAATAGGGTTCTCAAACTCAATGGAGAACCCTATCCATTGAAATGGTTGAATTGGAAAATGCCCAGAAAATGCCCAGAAAATGCCCAGAAACCATTGTGATTGTTTATTTCGTTTTTCGGATATGGGTTCTCAAACTCAATGGAGAACCCTATCCATTGTGATTGTTTATTTCGTTCTTGTAAACCCAGAAAGCCATCTTGTAAACCCAGAAAGCGATCTTCGATAAAAAAAACATGCAATAGGATCTTGGGTTTATTGATAAATTTGAGTTTTATAATTAATTTCATTTTGTACTTAATAGTAATTATGCAATAGGGTAACATAGACAATTAACATTTAAAATTTTAAGTTGGGTGTAAAAAGAGGTTGAATGAGTTTAAATAAAATTTTCCTATGATTTTTAGTATTGCAATTTTTTTATTACAAGCGAAAATGTCTAGTCTATACTTTATTAAAAAAAAATTGAAGTCGAACGCAACAAATTGAAAAATAATGCCCTAATTATCAGTAGAATTTACCACTTGCTTCTATATTGCAATTCTAACTTTGAAAAATACAGCAAAACCTCTAAATGTGATCTAGACTTGTACAAGAAGTTGTAAAAATTCGAATATTGTTTATAATCATATTATTTCTTTCTAAGAACTTGTCCAATCTCCATCATTTCGGCACTCCACAAGAGTAAAAGAATTTGGAGCTCGATTTGTAAGCTAGATGAGATTGGCCCTTAGAGATAAGATTGGTAGGGATTGGTTAAGCTTTGAATCCCAATCCATTGTTTGGAGAAACACTAAGCTGGATGAGACTCAATTGGACTTAAATCCAGTCCATTGTTGGTAGATGACTGGATTGGACATAAAAAATTCATTTGTGTTTTTCTATTTTGATTTATTCAATGACATATAATTAATCCAAAAAAATAGAAGAACCACATATGGATAATAAAAAGGTCTTACTCCTTAATTTGGTGCGGGACGTCCTTTTTTCCCTTTGTCCGGGTTGAAATCCTGGCAAGATTTTTATCAAAACCTATTGTTAGCACCCTATCCACTTTCCTTGTACGTGTTCTACCTGATTAATGAATATCGTACTTATTCTCAAAAGAAAATCACCTATCCTAACCAGCTCACAAAACTGGCCCTTGTGTACAAAAATCCGATTGATTTACTCTCTATATAAAGTGATTGTGACACCACCAATTAATATCGATGAAGATCTCATACTGGGCTCTTGTAGATTAATCCGGTCCGAAAATAAAAAAGGAAAATATTTTATTTATTTAGGGATTTTGTTTTATGTCATTTTATTAAAATTTAGGTTTCTTTGTTTTAACTTTTAAGGAATTATGTTGACATAACTCTGATTGGGTTTTGATGTGATAAGATTTCTATCCTAGTTTGCCTTCCGGTATTGCTATATATACCCCCCATATTCTATAAACCAACCACAAAATACCGAAGTCCTAAAGTTTACCCTATTTTTCTGTGCGCACCAGAAAAAAAAAAGAAAAAAAAGATGAAGAATAATTCAAACTCTCCTTCAACAAAAACACTGATATTTCTCATTCAAATTGTTTGTCTAGTTGTCTTTCTTCCAACTAGCCACTGCAACAGGCTGACGGTCTTCTTTCCAATGGATGCCAATCTGATCGCACAAACATGCAACCAAACACCATATCCCGATCTTTGCGTCTCTACACTTCAATCAGACCCTCGAAGCGCCAAAGCAGATGTCAAAGGCTTAGGCATCATAATGATTGATGCAGTTAGGGCTAAGGCACGCGAAGCTAATCTCCAAGTCGAGGAGTTGATCGATAGAGAGCCGGGAAATACACCCGCAAGAAACTGCAGATTTAACTACGACGATATTTTCCAACTTGATATTCCTCAAGCCGTTGAAGCTTTCGGTAAAGATGATTATAAGTCAGCAGAGATAGGCATGACTAATGTCGTCGCAAACGCAGATTCATGCGAAAGAGGTTTTTCCGGCGGCAGTCCTTTCAAAGACGAAAGCCAAGCTCTCCATGATGTTGCTTATGTGGCTGCAGCAATTGCCAAAGTATTGCGCTCTTGATGTATTCTTCTCTTGTCATAAGAGAATAATAAATTTGATATAGTAATCAACGATTGGATTTCTTGTTAACTACTACTAATTTGATAGCGTCAATATTTGATCTATGTGGTCATTTCAATAATTGAAAATTTTAAAATCCCTTTACAATTTGGAATATAATGCCATATAGGATAAAAGATGTCAATAAATTTAGGTTGTTCACAAAATCACGGCACCAAATCCCCGATATACCTGTTATGTATTATTTGGGTAGACATTTAATTTGTTTATTTTCTTTGGTAAACGGCATTTAATTTGTTTAAGTAATTTTTTGGGAGCCTTACATATGGAGACAAAAATATATAAATATTTCAACTCTCCTAGTTTTTAAACATTTCTAAGAGAGACAAAAAGAATAACCTAAAATATGGAAAGAATTTGTTAAAATATCAGTCATACCCAAAACAAGTATGTATATTATTATACCCCACGCCATACAACTTTAAAGAAATTAGTGTCATCAGCTCAAATCCTCATCGACCATTTTTATAGGATCACTTTCGAAATTATATATAGAATCAATTTGTATCCTTTATTTCTAGAATCTGTCCAATCTGTTATTGACCATTTTTACAGAATTAGTGTAAAATACACGCAGAATCAGTTTTGTATACTTTCCAGTATAATCGGTTTGTTATATTTTTAACAAAACTACATACATTTTGATGACAATTTTTTTTATTATACCTCCTTGGCGATATTCAAGGGATAATACAAATCAGAATCTTGCTAGTTGCCTCCAAAATCAATATCAGTCAATAAATTATGATTTATTCGTTTGGAGAAACCTCCAAATTTCGTTGTTCTTTATTGGTTTCATTTAAAGAGCAGGCTTGTACCCTTGTACATAGCTATTGATTAGGGTAATGCTAGAGGGACTAAATTTGGAAACTAAATGATGTGTCACCAATAGAAATGATTACGTTTATCAACGTTTAAGTAATAAATCAATTATCAATTTTTATGTCGTTTAGTTTTCAAAATTTAGTCTTCCTAACATTAGCTTTTTTAAGAGTACGAATCTTCCCTTCCTTTTAGATAGGATTTTTAGTACCTACAAAAAGAAAGTTAAAATCACACAAAATACATGCAAGAGTTCAAGGATGTTGTATAAATGCTCATACAAAGTCGTTCTCCACAAGGACTATTTAAATAATTTATGTAAAAACAATTCCTAATTAACTACCTAAAATTAAAAATTGAGAAATGAGATTTTGAATTTGGGTAATATTAAAAACGAATTTTAATTAAAAGTAAATAGTAAATTGGCCCAAAATTGATACGATAAAAGAAAAGAGTCTTAAATACCAATTTATAAAAGTACTAGGGTTCCACCATCACCTAGCAATCCTATGTATTTTTACCTATTACTTATGTTCTACACATGCCACTTTGAAGGTAAGATTTTTCTCATATATATTCTACTTGGAATCTCCAACATAGAACGTATATCTAACAGCAATCTGTCCAGACGTTCAAATCAAATATGAACTTGAGAGACTCATTATATTTTGTGAAACCCTTTGAAAAACCATGCAACCATTAAGACATGGTGTTCATCTTAAGTGAAATTACAATTATCAACCACAAGAAGCCATCGTCAATTTCAGGGAACCTTCTGACCAAAACGGATTAGTTACGAATATTCATAATTAAAATTGTAGAAATATTATTAGCAAGAAAAAGAATGAAAACACTTAAAAGTAAAAGTCTAAAATTCTTCAAGAACCCCTAGCCAATTTCCTATCTCCAAAGTCGCATAAAAGAGAAAGTATAAAAACTAGGGTCGGCCAAAGCCTTATATCCTTTACATAAGCTATCGCAAAATCCCTACATAAAAGTCTTTTGTTCCAACTAGGAAACCAAATAATAATAAAATATGCTAGGAAAATAAAGTCCTAATTAAGCTAGGAGAATCTGCAAGAGAACTGTCCAGCCACGGTTTAGCTTCAAATATCCTCCAAATCCGGCCCATGATAGCTAGTTTTAAAGATTGGAACGTTTTGAACACATCTCCAGAAGGGGCCGAAACGAAAATAGGCCATCTAGGGCTCCAAAACTCGCAATTAAGATTAAAAGTTACTTTTCCAGTACCGCGCACTGCTCATTTATTCTATCGCCAGAAAATAACCACTTGGTGGAAAAATCTGATATTTTGACATGATCAAGCTAAGTGACTCACAAACGTCCTCCAACTAGAATTAGTCCAAAACTCATCCATATGATCACGTTTTGCTCCAAAGGAATTTGAAAATTTTATAATGAAAATACAATTCAAAGTATAAAAAATTTTCTAAAATAATAACCAAAATATACTAAGAATATGATTAAATATATAATATAAAATCTACTCATGACTT